CTCTTGAGCTCAGGTGATCCGCCTGCCTCAGCCTTCCAAATTGTTAAGGCTTGAGCCACTGCACCTGGCTGATAGTTTTTCTTTTTACAGAAATGGGATTATAATATGTGTGTGTGTGTGTGTGTGTGTGTGTGTGTGTGTGTGTATGAATATTTCCAAATGTCTACAATAATACATATAGATTTAACTCGTTACATAATTCTAAGAAATCTCTGGCATTTATTAGGATGGGAACACCACGATTTATCTGATCTCATGTTGACAGACAGCTAGGTTTTTTCTAGTTTTTCCACCTCTATGAAAGTGTTTCTGTAGCCTAAATTACTAAGTGCAGAATTACTGTGCAAGAGGTTGTGCTTTTGAAATTTTAATAGGTATCACCAAATCAGCCTCAAAGTGGCCGAGCTAAGCTGGCACACCCAAGGTAATGCATAAAAGGGCCAATTTGGCCAGGTGTGGTGGCTCATGCCTGTAATTCTAGCACTTTGGGAGGCCGAGCTGGGTGGATTCCCTGAGCTCAGGAGTTCAAGACCCACCTGGGCAACATGGTGAAACTGTCTCTACTAAAATTAGCCAGGCATGGTGGCATGCACCTGTAGTCTCAGCTGCTAGGAAGGCTGAGGCAGGAGACTTGCTTAAACTCAGGAGGGGAAGGTTGCAGTGAGCTGAGATCACGCCACTGCACTCCAACCTGGGCAACAGAGTGAGAACTCCGTCTCAAAAAATATATATATCAGTTTACCAAATCCATTCAATATCTTTTTGGAATTTTCATTTTGATTGTATTGAATTTAGAGATTATTTGAGGGACACTAACCCCTGGAAATAAAGGTAATAGTGAGCGCATCCGGTGCGAGCCTTTGACAGGAGGACACGAACGTCCCCCACTGACTCCGACACTGGCTTCAGTTTCTGGCAGACATTCAGTGATGCCAACATTTCCTTCAAAGTTTCTTCATTTGCCAGGGTTTGTTTGTTCATTTAACCAGAAATGCCTGCCTATTATTAAATATTTCAGAGCATCTGTCAAGATAAACGCATCCTTCCCCTCCCCTTTAATCTGTTCATCTGTTTATTTGAATCTTAAATAGATTTCTTGAGGGCTGACCTTCCATATATGGAGCATCCTCTACTTGGCCATGATGTGTTCTTTTTTTTGTTTGTTTGTAGAAAGTGATTTATTTAAAGAGAGAGAGAAACAGGAGAAGGAGAGAGAAAGAAACAGCTAACTCTCACCCTGAGTGAGAGAATCCAGAAAGATGGAATCCAGGAGAGGAAGGCAGCTTCCACACTGAGTGGAAGGGAATAGAGAGAGATGGAGTTTAGGAGGGGAAGACAGGCTTCCATGTGAAAGTGTGGGAGGGGACTCCAGAGGGGAAATCCAGGAGAGAGAAACACAGCTGTTGTAGTTCAATGTTCTTCACTTATCTATAAGTGTTGCTGGTTTCTTTGCCTCGATATTTCAGCTTTTCTTGGATGTTTTTTCCTGAAATCTAACCTAGAGTATTTCTTTTTCAGAAAAGATCTGAAAAACTTTCTTTGTCCTTACATAGCAAACATTTTTTTGCATCCTTTAAATGTCAAAGAAAACTTGGCATTTTGTGATTCTAGGTTTAAACATATTTTCTGTTGGTATTTTCAAGACCTCGATTTAAAGTTCAGGGTCTCTCACGTGAAATCTTCTTGCCCATCTGACCCTTGTTCCATTCAAAGTATCCTGTTTGTTTTCTCCTGGAAACATTTCTAGGCTTGTCCTCATATTCTTGCAGGATGGAAAATTTACCAGTGAGAACTGGGTATGAGTCTGTTAAAAGGCATCTTGGGAGTGAACCCCGATCTCCATCCCTTGCTTCAAAACTCCATTGTAGTAGCCTCCCTTAAATACAGATTCCTGCTGTCTTTAAAAAATATTCTGAAAAGGAATCTTCTTCTTTATTGAGTGGCCTGTTGTCTGCTTGAAACCCCTGTGACTTTTTCTCCCATTTGTTATTGTATCTGGTTGCCCATGGAAAATTCCCAAGCAACGGTAGCTTAACAACATAGAACTTTCTTTTTCCCAGCATAGAAAAGATGCCCAGAAGAAGCAGTTTCAGGCTAGTGTGGTTGCACCAGAGTGACAGCAGGAATCCAGCTTCCTCTCTTTCTTTGCATCATCCTCACATATGGCTTCCATCCTCAAGGTAACCTCATGGTCCAAAATAGCTGCTGAAGCTCCACCTGTCACCTCCGAGTTGCAGGCTGGAAGAAGGAAAAAAGACAGGGACAAAAATGGACCCCTCTCACCCGAGTCAACTGCCATTAAGCAGCCTTTTCGGGAAGACACACACAATGCTTCTACTCTCGTTTCCTCGAACCACATTTCGTCACTTGACTACAACTAGCAGCAAGAGAGTATGGGAAATAGGACATTTTATTCTGTGTAGCAATAAACTCAGCTAAAACCTTGGCTTCTGCCTCCAGGAAGAAAGGCACAAGGTCTTCCACTGTCTTTCAGACTAGG